AAGAGATGATTTTGCTTTGACGAATATGGTTTGATCAGCTTCCTCTCTTGACACTTGTATGAAGGTAGACATGCTTATGCTTGCGGATACAGTGTTCGACTGACACTGTGTTGCTTTATATAGACGTCCAAGATATATTCCAAGATGTCACCATTGTTTACTGGCCGATTCAACTGTCTACACAGCGCATTTTTCACCTTAGTTTAGCTATTTTCCCCATTATTCTGCTGATGTCACCAGGTATTTCCATCTTCAACCTTGATGCCTTTTTTTCACCTGCGATTTTCCTTTAAGTTTCTATAGCAACACTACGTTTCCTGATATGTATGGTGCCATTTGAGTATCAACGTGGTCAGTATCAACAGCCTGACAGCATTGTATTTGATGGTTATTATACATTGTGTCCGTAAAATTGTAAACGATTCTATCAAAAAGTCATACATTTAGCATGTTATTGTTGTAGTTTACATGTGTTTTGTAACACCCTCGAGTAAATCAAAATCAATTACTGATAAACATCAATATTGTTATTTTACATTGTACAATCCTCATCTAGTATAAAAGATTGGTCCAGTTCATAGGGATGGGGCCTTAAAGGGGCGGTGAAGGTTCTGTTTATTGTGTGCTAACTACAAATAACAAAAGTTTATTGTGCAAGTATAAAAGAATGCCATAATTATCTTTCTTTCTTAATTAATTATACCTCGTCTTCTCAAGATATTTCGTTTGAGGACATACATGTACAAAAATATGTACAATTATCACTGAAATAACTCCAAACAGATGGAAGGTCTAGAGCATTCCCCACCAAAGGGAACTTGATACCCTACTCCCCACCAAAGTCATGACGTTACAGGAAAACACTTACTGCCCACTGGTCCCACCAGGGGATGTTTGGAGGGAAAGTCTCTCTCCAAGCCCTAATTACTCGTACGGTGTGGCAGGATAAACATGACAAATAAGAGTAAATATCTTACAGATGAAAACAAAGCAACAAACAGCGCATTAGAAGAAGTGGAATATTAGGAATGTATCGTTTAAACAGATTATAAATCATACACGTGTCCTCACTGTTTTAATCGGCACTGTGTGACATTGTTCCCACTGTTTTAGTCAGACCTGTGACAAGTGTCCCACTGTTTTAGTCGGTCCTATGTGACAAGTGTCCCCACTGTTTTACTCAACCCTGTGTGACATTGTCCCCACTGTTTTAGTCAACCCTATGTGACAAGTGTCCCCACTGTTTTACTCAACCCTTTTGTGACATTGTCCCCACTGTTTTAGTCAGCCCGGTGTGACAAGTGCCCCCACTGTTTTAGTCAGACCTGTGTGACATTGTTCCCACTGTTTTAGTCAGCCCGGTGTGACAAGTGCCCCCACTGTTTTAGTCAGCCCTGTGTGACATTGTTCCCACTGTTTTAGTCAGCCCGGTGTGACAAGTGCCCCCACTGTTTTAGTCAGCCCTATGTGACAAGTGTTTCCGCTGTGTTAGTCAGTCCTGTGTGCCAAGTGCCCCCACTGTTTTAGTCAGCCCTGTGTGACATTGTCCCCACTGTTTTAGTCAGTCCTGTGTGACAAGTGCCCCCACTGTTTTAGTCAGTCCTGTGTGCCAAGTGCCCCCACTGTTTTAGTCAGCCTTGTGTGACATTGTCCACACTGTTTTAGTCAGCCCTGATTGATGTTGTCCACACTGTTTAAGTCAGCCCTGTGTGACATTGTCCCCACTTTTTAAGTCAGCCCTATGTGACATTGTCCCCACTGTTTTAGTCATCCCTGTGTGACTAATGAAACTTTCCGACAGTTGTGGTGGGGAACAGAAAACCAACCACCTCACACACGGAATCATTATTGTAAGAACGATGTATATACGTACAGATTTGGAAAGATGCTCAATAGAGAGGAAAAACAATCACTAGAGAGGCATAGTACAACAACTGGTGCAGCACAAACGTAATATTATGCCTAACTGTGTCATACAATTAATGAGGAAGTGATATCCTAATCGAGAATCAGGAACTGCAGTATTATGACGCCAGTGAGATAAACACTATATTCTGATCATATCATTATTTCCTATTCTGATTTAATGTATTTGTGTTATATAGTTCTGTCTGGTTATGACTATAGTACTTTGATTAACAGTCATGTTTCGTGTCTAAGGAATCAAGTCTCCGTTGGTAAGGTAGGGGCTTTGTTAATTCAACATGTGTGACAAGGACCATAGCAATGTCTTCAGATTTAAACTTCCTGTATCGACCTCCAGTGAAGCTAATTCAAATTTGATTGACATCTACCATTGTTACATATTAATGTTCCTATTACAGGTTTGAAGCTTTTAGAAAGAAAATCATAAGCAAATTCAGATTCCTACCAGGAAAATCAGCACCCATGACAAAATCAGAGTCAAATATTCTAATGATAAATATAAACTTAATGATTAACATTCTCTGAAGTGAAGGCAGTTAATCTTTTGAAATTTCCTCCATTTCCCTAAGTTGTGTCCCATTTATATCCCACCCGTGGCCTTTAAAAGGAGCTGATCGGTGTGGATTGTACTTCTGATCTCCTAGAGTTACTGTCCTTCCTTTACTCTCTCTGTTGGCATACCTTGACAGCCGACGGAACAGGTTTCTTTGGCTCAGTTGGTAGAGCCAGCCGATTTTCACGCCAGAGACCCGGATACAATTCGATGCGAAATTACCATGTAGGGGATTGTAGTGTTAATTTAATTTACAGATGTCAATTATAAAACTGAAATTGGCGAGTTACATGTTCGCCATAGCAATAATATAATTAGTGTTTGGAATATTGAACTGTCATAAACAACATAACGTGTTAACAGTTGTCAACAACAGAATTGTAATGCTAGAAATTTGGCACGATTGACCTTCCAAATTAAACACCGACTTTCCTATCAAATGGACTGTGTGTTGACGAGGAGCGGTGCGCCAAAAAGAACGAGCAACCATGAAAATTTCCGAATTAAGCGCACACTCATTTTTGCCCATTTTCCATGTTGGCAGAGTTGAAAGTCAGCCAATATCGGGAAAATTCGACTTATTTCATATTGGTCGAGTAGTGGTTATTTTCTCAATGGTGCTCGAATATGATCGTAGCATTACTGTGCCGAAAAATCTACATGAATGATAGCTAATCAAAAACTCGAAAGTCTGGTTTTGAAGTTCCTTAAGATCTATTTCAAAGGGAAGATATTGTAACATATTCAACCTAGTAAGGGAGATGGGGGTGGGGGAGGGACTGTCGTAGGGCGAGGAGATAGGATGGGATGTCGTAGGGAGAGGGGTGGGGTGGGGTGTCGTAGGGGGAGGGGGCGTTACCCCGACTGTTCACGTAACGGAGGAATATTCCACAACGGCTATGGCGGGTCCATATTCAACATTCACCGAGATTGTAACAATGTCTCAGTTTCCTATATCAATCAATGTGTCAAGGTCACTCATAGACGTATACATGGTGTGTGTTGAAATATAAGAAGTTATGTATATCAATATGAATTGACATATAGATCCTGAGTAATTAGTCATGTTGATATATGAAGGTTCAAGACATACAGTCATGATAAGATCTTCATGTGATCACTATGGTGGATGAGTGTGATTGGGGAAGTCACAACTGATCATGTCCAGTCAAGCGTGACTTTGAATTTTGAACCTTTTGCTGTTTAGTGAATGGTTATATGTCACTGAAACTTTGCATACTTAATTGTTTTTATGGAGAAGGGCCGAGATTTGAACATCGACGATCAGGTATTATCAGTGGCTAGTAGCCGATCAATTACTCGCTTGTTTATCTAATTAACTACCTTTTTCATTCTTTTAAATGACCTACACAATAGTAACCAATTACATTTCACCAGTTCATAGGTTCATTGGACACTGCCCATCATTAGGTCTCAAATACAAAGTTTATGTTTTAAACTGATGAGTCCTACTGATACTAGAAGTTGTAGAAGTTGAGGGAAGACATGGTCACCTTTCTAGTCATAGCTAGTGGGGATTTCTCTTGATAGAGTATCTGACTAGAGACCACAGCGTTACTATAGCCTTACCGGAGTCATTAGTATTAGTGGAGGTGAACCCCAGAAAGAATCATTTTTACAAGCTATAGGCCCACTTCAAGCCCCATCGAATAGGAGCTGTGTAAGTCATGACTCCTTCCATTTACATCTGTATGTATTAATTATTGCATCAAAATCCAAGAATATCTTTAAATAAGTTCATTTCTGAGTTAAAATATAAACCAATCATGCCTTCGTTTTACCTGGTACAATGAACAACGACTGCACAACAGATTTCAGTTCAAAGGAAAACGAGTTCATAAATTCTCGCACCTGATTGTACTCATGCACAATTATCTTACAAGAGAGATATAATATAAAATAAGAAAACAAATCGCCTTGGCCCAGTAGCATTAGCTGTCGAAGTATATGAGAAACTTCGAAAGAGTGGACGAAGGGAGATAAATGGAACACTGTAAATAATATGATTTTTCTTCCAAACAGAAAAGAAGCGTAGTAATATCTGCATGAAACAGTTCCATATTGTCATTTAAAACACGATATCTTATAATATATTTGAGTTTTCTTTTTTTATCTATGTATATACATGTGTATATATAATGATAACAGCATCAACTACTTCCTGAACATGAACACATTTTACGTCCTTTCTGCGGAGGTATATGTGCGTTGTTGGGTCATTTTGTGGTAGCCTAACAAGCGAACAACTTATTTGGGTGGTGGCTACACAACGCACAGCGTCTTAAAATATTACTTAATGATCAATACAGCTGATCAGTATATATTCACAAACCTTCACAATAAATGGCACTTCTTCATTCCCTGTTCTTCTGTGTTACTCCAAATCAATGCAGTCAAGAGGGAAATGGTAACACTAGATTAAAACAATCCAAGTCTTCATTTAAAAAAAGGTTTTTAAATGAACTGTTTCTAAAAATATCCCTTGTCTGTTTGTTATAAGGATTTTGCAGCTGCAAAAATGAAGTGGACCGCTGAGTTATGTAGAAAGGATTCAGACTCTGATGGAAGGACGAACGGACAGGAATTAGGTGATCCGAACTGTACATGGACCAAGGGTGCAACGCCATCTGGTAGTGCGACAGGACATCCAGGTATCATGTTAGAATTGACCTAGTTTCTGGTACTCCTTGAGACTGTAATACCACGTTTAAACATATCTACCTGACACTTATCACTTTATTATTGTTATTGTTAATTAAGGGGCATGTGACCATTTGACATTTATTTCCACCAAGTTTGATTTTCTTCAATATCTTCCCAGGGCTCGAAAATCCAGGCCCTTTGCATCACTAACCACTCCTACATGGACAAATCAGCTGTATGATGCAGTTTTATTCATCATTTGTAGATACCGTATCTAATATCAACTCTGTATTGAATGATATTCACTTGTGTGTCTTTTGTAGTTTTTCATGCGAAATGTGAATAATACATTGAGTTTTACTAGGAAGATTCGTTTATCTATGGTAACTTTCAAATAAGAAAAATTCCAACGAGGACATACTTTGATTGACCAAGATTTACATGGCGGACGTCGTTAATGATGCAGAAGACGCTTACTCTTCTGGTACACTAGTCTTATTATCCTTGAACTTTTTCATGCATTTCCGTGTAAATCTTTCCTTTGTTCATATTGTGCCAAAGTTTTATTGAATTTGAGTTTGGATTATGATTATGATGACAAACTGGTATTATCTTTCTGTTTTTGTTATAGTATCTTAAGTGAAGCTTAGTTTACAATCTACGTTGACGTTGTGTTAGTGGAGTACACCTTGTGTCCTTACATATGTTTCTAATAGACACTTTATCATTACAGGTGTCTGTGAACCGATGGACCTCGAGGCATGTAAATCCGTGAACACAGCGATAGTTTGTTTGTAAAATTGTACTAAAGATTTATCCAGTATAAAAAAATGTTCAAATAATAATAATAAAATCGTTGGTATCTTCCATCGTTTCTATTTTTGTGGGTTTTTTTTATCTTTTAACTTATGTAACAGTCACAAATATGAGTTCAGTATATCTCTTACGACTTATGACTTATGCCTGCCCTGTTAATCAGAGTCCCCTAGTGAACTTTGTTGTCAGTCTGCCGTCCATAAGGCTCCAGATATCCTTAAACGTCCATTTTCTCTGGTAAGAATGACTTACGAGTAGACAGGGTTAGAATAAAGCAAAGGTGGGGTCTGTCAGCTTCTCGGAGTCTGGCAGTACCGCTCTTCTGTTTCTGTATCGGGGGTTCCGTCGGGTTTGGTCTCTCATGCTAAGAGTCGGTTTTGAGGTTTGTTCGTTGACACCGCCACCCCTCACCCCCTTGCATCTTAGTGTCCTTCATTGGCCCTTCATCAGAGTGGGTCCTGCGGCCAACCCCTGCCCTCCACTTTCCGGTTTAACTGACAATCGTGAGATTGAAGACCTGGACGTTGAGGGATAGGGTGAGGCAGTTGTTGGCGTTGTTCATCTCTCCCCTCATTGGTCTGGTATTGATTCTTATCAGTATGAGCAGTCTTCTGACGACCCTCGGTAGGAATCATCTTCTGACGAGTGTATTCCTGACGTGGGCGATCCCGAGCCTTCTAAGGTTGAGGCCGGGAGGGCTTTACCTGGGATGCGTGTCCTGAGGCCTGACGCTGCCCGGACTACCGAGGTGTGCTCAATACCTTCTTTGTCATCGGTCCCCGAGTCCACCACGTTAATCGAGATGTTGGTGACCCATTGGATGCCTGTTCGCCCAGACAGGACCTTGACTGAAAGCACTTTTCTTCTGCCTTGACCACTGCCAGGTCAAGAGTGAAGTAGAAATGTTCTGCTGCTTGCTGTGCATCAGGCTTTGACATGTTGCAATTTTCTGTTAAACCAGTTTAGATGAGATCTGGAGAATTAGCTGTCTGGTCTGGCAAATCAATGGACCTGGCGATTTTCGGTTCAAAGGAACATAAACATGTGTCTTTATAGGGTATCTGATCTTCCTGAGGATCGTATCACCCCGACAAATCAGGATGATATTTAGGACAGCGTTACTTCTGCTCTGAATACGATTTGCGAGCATCAGCTTCCTTGCAGGTATCTGCTCTATCTTACCTCGTGTTGGCCAGACGTGTCTCCCTCATGAAGAATTGTCCTGTAGAAGATCCCTACCTTTCCTGGTTGCTGACAGCACCTTCACAGGTAATACCCTTTTTGGGTACCCTACCTTCGGTTCAGAAGGACTCGAAGAAATGTGCGGTAGCGTCTACACTTCTTGTGAAAGAGAGTTTCTGATGCCTCCTCCCTCTCCGTGTCCTCGCCTGTAGAGTCGGCACAATAGGTGGACGTAGGTCTTTCCTATTCCGACTCTCATAACCTCTAGAATCAGATCCCATCTAGCAGGAGTTAGACTTACCAAAAACCGATCTACCCGTAAGGGATTGTCTCTACCTTTCTTCCAGAATGGAAGAAGATTACAGAGGACGCTTTGGCGCTGTCCTTTGTCACGGAGGGGTTAGGCATCCCACTTTTACAGGATCCTCCCTTGTCGTCAGAGCAAATTTTCTTTCCTCCCTCTGGGTATACAGAAAAAGTTTTCGCCATCCAGGAAGCATTCATAACCTTACTCCTCAAAAGTGAGGTCAGGGAGGTTTCGAGACTTCTACTCCAGAAAGTTTCTGGTTCGGAAAATTGATATTACAACAAAAACCTCAAAATTAGTTAATCAATCATGTGTCCTTTGCCAAGATTGTTGTATACATCATCGAAAATTTCTAGTAGTTGTGATTTACAGGTGTTGAATCTGCACAAACCATATTGGAAAGGATACCAAGTATTAGTTAAAATAGTATCAGACATAAATTCACAGATTAATCATTTCAGAGTAATGATGATAGAAAAGACTTATCCGTTTAAGATGGTGGAATTATTTTAAAGTAGTTAAAGTAAAGTATGTCAGCTCGTGATGTTTTACCAAAACCTTGAGAGATTTCAACGACAGCAAATGACTATGAAGACGGTAAATTATCGTGTTCAGGATTTAGGGCGAAAGAGCTGTGTGTGATGTAGTATCACTAATAAGTTCTAGAAAGATAAAACAATTGTGTGATGTAGCATCACTGACGAGTTCTAGGAGGATAACAGAGTTGTGTGATGTAGTATCACTGACGAGTTCTAGGATGATAAAACAGCTGTATGATGTAGCATCACTGACGAGTTCTAGAAGGATAACAGAGTTGTTTGATGTAGCATCACTGACGAGTTCTTGGAGGATAACAGAGTTGTGTGATGTAGCATCACTGACGAGTTCTAGAAAGATAAAACAGCTGTGTGATGTAGCATCACTGACGAGTTCTAGAAAGATAAAACAGCTGTGTGATGTAGCATCACTGACGAGTTCTAGGATGATAAAACAGCTGTATGATGTAGCATCACTGACGAGTTCTAGGAGGATAAACAGCTGTGTTATGTAGCAATACTGACGAGTTCTAGAAGGATAACAGAGTTGTGTGATGTAGCATCACTGACGAGTTCTAGAAGGATAACAGAGTTGTGTGATGTAGCATCACTGACAGGATAAAACAGCTGTGTGATGTAGCATCACTGTGTGACATCACTGAGTTCTAGGATAAAACAGCTGTGTGATGTAGCATCACTGAGATAAAACAGTTGTGTGTGTGATGTAGCATCACAAAACAGCTGTATGATATAATATTACGAGCTGTGTGATGTAGCATCACTGACGATGATAAAACAGCTGTGTGATGTAGCATCAATGACCAGTCCTAGAAGGACGAAACAGCTGTGTTATGTAGCAATACTGACGAGTTCTAGAAGGATAACAGAGTTGTGTGATGTAGCATCACTGACGAGTTCTAGAAGGATAACAGAGTTGTGTGATGTAGCATCACTGACGAGTTCTAGGAGGATAACAGAGATGTGCGATGTAGCATCACTGACGAGTCCTAGAAGGATAAAACAGCTGTATGATATATTACTGACGAGACCTAGGACAAAACAGCTGCATGATATAATATTACTAACGAGGCCTAGAATGATAAAACAGCTGTGTGATGTAGCATCACTGACGAGTTCTAGGATAAAACAGCTGTGTGATGTAGCATCACTGACGAGTTCTAGAAAGATAAAACAGTTGTGTGATTTAGCATCACCGACATTTTCTAGATGGATGCAGCATCACAGCTGAGTCCTACAAGGCCGAAACAGCCTCAATGCAATTTGTAATCATATATCAATATTGAATTGTGTTATTCACTTGTGTTTTATTACAATTTTTAACTGCAATGATAAAGATTAACAGCATTACTGGGACACTATTCATGGAAGCATAATCACTTAATGCTAATAGACAACTTATTTCTATTCATCTTATAAACGTCATGTTTGTAGAACAACTCCCAGAAATCATTTCAACAGCGATACAGCACTATAAATGTAATTTGATAGGATACCTCTCTATAAAATGGGCATGGTTGTATTTTGTAAGTAAATGATTCATTTCATTTATGTGATCCTTTGAAATATCTAATATACAAAAAGTGTTTAACCTCATATTTTTTTTATCTAATGGATGAGACTTTGATTATGGGGAAGTGAGAAAGTGTTGTAAACAATATCACAGAATACTGATGTGTGAAGAAAGCTGAAACCATAAAGTCCAAACTGATCAAACGAGAGCAAACTATGAACAAACAACCTGCCTGACCACATGGGTTCAGTTCTCAGCAGGTCTCCTCCCATAGTAAGATCCCTCATGCACTTCCACCTGTACCAACCAGAGTGATTAAAATTGGGAAAATTTTGCATCAGTGTTATTTAAACGAAACTAAGAAAACAGAAAGGTCTGTTGGTGGTCAGATAAATCCAATAGAGTCCACAAAAATAAGAACAAAGTCAGAGGCAGTATACTTGGACATCAGTGTATTTGTGACCTCAAAGTAGTTCTATACTTAAATATTACACATGTAACGTAATGTGAACAAAATCACAGAATTCATGTATAAAATATCTCCACCTCTGGTGATCTCTCAAGGTCATAACCTCAAAGTCATTACAAAATATTTGTGTTTCAGCTAAACCTCACATTTCTGAGTCATTTAAAAGGACAAATGGTGCAGGATGAAAACACAAATGACTTGTCCCTAAATTATTATCTGTTATATATGGAGAAAAGGAAAAAAAAAACTTTAAAAGTCAAGTATTCAAGAACATTCTCACATGTTGGAAGGTTGCATTTGGTAAAGATGAAACGGTCATGACATTAAAAACTGCTCTGTCATCTCATTTGAATATTGGTGAACACAATATCCAGTCGAAAACAAGGGATATGTACCAAATGGAAGACTGTAATAAACCACATTGAGATAATCATCTGAAATCTAATTTAATTAATATCAGTGTTACAGTTGGATTTTTATCAATTTAATAATTTGCACGGCATCATGAACGTGACACAAAAGAACGATATCAGTGAGAGGTATCTATCTGACATCTACTATTTATTTCATCACTGTTCAATTTTGTTTTTAACGTGTCTATCACACAATAATAATGACAAAAATAATAATAATAGACTTTATTTCATGAGGATTAAAGAATCTGTTTAGCCGAGGCTAATCTTCTACAGGGTCCTCATTACCTCCTGGTAATAAGCCCATCCACACACATAACTATTATAAGCCTTCAATTGCTTTTTCTTTGCCCACTTTCTTACTATCCTGTAGTAAGCTCACATCCTGACATTGAGTTGCAGGTAATGTGTTTTCCCCCTGGGAAGAATGCAGCATAAATACCATTAGACTGGACAATTATTTGCGGAAATGTTGGCTAAAAAATGATTATGAACTTGAATGAGGATTAGTTGAAAACAGATACAAAACTTAGGAACAACAGGA